CACTGCGACCCATAATTATAGACCCACCCTAATTTCTCCGATTTTAAGAAAGATTGAAAAACTTTGAGCCACCAAACTTTTTTTGTGATAAACCTTGTTCAGTGACTTGTCCAAACCATCCCACTCGGCACGAATCGTTCTTTTCAGATCGTTGACCGTTGTATACTGCTACTTCGCGTTAAATCGCAAACCGCTACTCCCTGACGTCATCCCTATGACATCATCTTCATTTGCAAAAATTCGTACACGCAGCCATATCATTTTATTCATTTTTTACGTTCCAATTTATAAATTAGATTCGACGTGAAAAATTTTCCGGTCACATGAGAGACAGAAAGATATCACACTTGAAAATCCGCTTTTGATTGGAAACTTTTTTTTTATTCTTCTATTTTCTTATATTTTTTAGAAACCTTTTAAAGGTTTGGAATATTCCTAGGCGTCGAGGCCCACGCTTACGCACAGTGTGCTCCTTTAAATTTTTTTTCTTTTTTTTGGGAAATACATTTCACAGATTTTTTCGCTACGCGTATCAAGTTTGCAAATCGTTTAGAGCTACCTGATAGTGTTATTAGTGTTCACGTTTCGAAACTAAATTCCTTTTATGTCAAGTATTCATTTATTTGACGAATTTTTCACTGTGGCTCAGTTTTTTCGAAGCGAGCCACAGTCGGCTTCGCGCTATGCGCGCTCCGCCTCCGTCTAAAGCCTTAAAACTAAGCCTATTTTCTTAAGTAATGCATGAACCTGTAGGCGCAATTTTAATGCAAAGGCGCAATTCAGGCCCTTCCCATTCTTCAATTTTTTTCAATTTCAGTTTCAATTCAATTCATTCAGTCTTCAGAGTAAGATGAAGAAAATCTCTGCTGAATCATTGTATAATCGAAGAGTTAGTCGTCGGCGCGGGTTACGGTCCACAATTGTTGTCCAATACGTCCGGAGGGACAGCTAGCGTTGGGAAATAATTTTGGCCCGTTAGTAGTACCAGCGAATAAACTGCTTCACCATGTTGGAACAGTACGGCGCTCAGCTTGTCCAGGGCTGACGGGCGTCGGAATATTATCCCATGAGATAGCGGCAAAGAGACCGACCAGTCGACGTGATGAAATGAGATAATAATAATCTACTGAATCATGTTCACGTGAATAAAATGAATATATAGCCAAGTATTTCGATTACGCTTATTTCTTGTGTTACGAATGATGTCATGAAATGACGTCAGGGAGTAGCGGTTTGCGATTTAACGAAAACTTATACTGCTTGGCATTCGCGTAGACCCTTCGTACAAGGACTGACCATAAATTCTCTACAGGGTTGAGGTCAGGACTGCACGCGGGCCAGTCCAGAAGAACCACGTTCTTGGCCGCAAACCAAGCCAATGTGGAGTTGCTCGCGTGAACAGATGCATTGTCTTGTTGGTAAATCATATTAGCACGTCGTCGGCGACGGAGATAGGGCAGGAGATGCTGGGCAAGCAGTTGCTGGTAGTCTTGCGAATTCGTTCTGGTCCCAATAAAAGAAAGAGCTACCGTCCCGTTGCCGCAGAAAGCCGCCCAGACCATGAGGCTGCCGCCGCCGAAGTTTCTCTTGGAGAAGTACATCGGATCTTTCCTCAAATCTCTCCAGTAGTGAGCGTACCCATCTGGCCCATCGAGGTTGAATTTCTTCTCGTCGCTGAAGATGATCTGAACAGAAAAATTGGGAATCATAAGGTGATATAGTCAATGTTTCCCGACTTGAAAGGCGAGGGAGGCGGGGCAGGGGGCGGAACGCGTAGCGTGTGCGTTCGCGGTTCTTGCCACGTGTTCAATTCAACCGCCATCGACTCTTTGAAATTCCCGTTTTTTTCGTTCTTTTTCATTCCTTTTTTTCAATTAGTTATTGATAATGTTCATGTTTTCATCAAAAAAATAGTAGAAAACATTGAAAAAGAGCGGTTGCCGAGCTTTTTATATAGTCGGCGGCAATTGAATTGAACTCGTGCCAAGAACCGCGAACGCACACGCTACGCGTCCCGCCCCTTGCCCCGCCTCTATCGCCTTTCAAGTCGGGAAACATTGACTATAGAAAACATTGATACCTTATTCCAATCCGTGGCCATGTTAGAGCGTGCAAACTGGAGCCGTTCATTCTTATGGCGTTGCTGTAGACGAGGTGCTGCCTTCATTGGAGTATTCACAAGTCGACCGGACCGATGAATTGTTCGTAAGATGGTGTTCTTCGAGACGTTTTCAGGAATTTCGGATCTGATTTGGTTGGCGGACTTCGTAGAGTTTGATGCTTTTAGACAGACGTCTCGTTCAGCTTGAACCGATAGCAGCCTGTGCCGTCCAGAATGTATTGCTGTGCCGTATTCTTGCGGATTCCTTGCATAACGGTCAATAGTTCGTCTTGAGCGACCCGTCTGACGAGCGATTTCCCGATGGGACAAGCCGTTGTTGAGTAGAGCATCGATTACCGCTTTTTCGGTATTTTAAAGTTGAGTAGATTTAGGCATTATGGCTTATAGTGATACACGAGGACTTTTTTTCTCTTATATACCACTGAAAAAAACAGGAAAAACGTGTTACCTGAAACGAAAACTCGGAAAACTCTGGGGTGGGTCTATAATTCTGGGTCGGTCAAAAATCAGATTTTCTCGTATCTTGAAAAATTTTTCAACTGGGTGATTGATGATTATATTATGATTATGTTCCTTATCAACAAGGTTTATCACAAAAAAAGTTTGGTGGCTCAAAGTTTTTCAATCTTTCTTAAAATCGGAGAAATTAGGGTGGGTCTATAATTATGGGTCGCAGTGTATTCTTGAAGAGAATGATGCTGCTTCACTTTGTGTGTTTCTAGTTTGTAACTAACAGAGTCTAAACACAGAATTTCCGGCTGATAAAGAACATGATTGAAGCATTGCATATGAAGATAAATATCAGGCGATCAGGAGACTCATTTTGGATTGACAGGAACTTTGGATTAATAGGCATCGTGATTGACATTTGTATTCAACATAGCGGCACACCCTGAACAATCAAGGAACTTCTGCGTATAAAAGGCGCTGTAGATTGCTGATAATGACAACCGGGGCCATTCTGCCGTACAAGGCTTTTAGTATAATATAAATTGTTTTAATTTTGTTTGCATACACAATAAAAATTTTGTCACATTCAGGAAAATGCGTCTTGTAGACTTGACTCTCATTCTTGCTATCATATCAGCAACGCATGCGTACTTTTATTTCGAGTAAGTTCTGCCTTCTTGAATTCTATTTTTTGATCAAATTAAATATAATTTATCTATGACATTTCAGCTACCCGCTGTGCCGCACATGCAATATTACAGTGGGAAATTTCGGATCGGTGAGTTTTTTGTCATCATTGCTGCTCTGCTTTTGATTGGCACTATATTTTTCCAAAAAAGTAAGCATTTGTAGGACCTCGAATCATTCTTTTCAATTAGCAATTCCCTGATGCGAAGAGTGTGTCAACTGAAAGAATCTACGGTAGATACTTGCATGTCGACATTGGAGATTGTGAAGAACATCTTAGATGAGCTAAACGACGAGCTTTTTCTAGAAGCGTCTCCATCAGCAAAGACGCTTGCCTGCTCTCACCTCTTTACAATCTGCCCTGATAAGTGAGTATGCCTGTAATCTTTGTTGATTTTAACCAAAGATAATGTGTCTGTTTTCAAGCATGAACGTCAAACAAAAACAATTGTGTACATATATATTTACTGTTAACATGAAAAGTATGTAAGTGTTTCAGGAAAATGGATGGAAGTGAGTTGGATTCTGATAAATGGAGCTGCTCCTCCTGTACCAAATTGCTTGACGCTGTATTCACTGTAAGAATCGATTTTTATTTGATAAGATTCAATCGCGATCCTCGCCTTAAATTATTTCAATACAAATTTCGAGTATTTTCAGGTGCTTTCAAAATCTGTGAATAAGGTCAACGATTTTATTCTCGCCGTTTTTTGTTCATCTGGTGATGAAGATTGCGTGACCGACTTCAAAACAGCTTTCAAAACAACTGGAGCTGTAGGGCGTCTTTTGAGTGAAAAGGTAATCTTTTTTTACTAAGTATTCCTCAAGTTTGGTTTTTTTATGTTATAAAAAAATGAAATTAGCGAATTCTCATAATTATACAAAATTGCTTAAAAAAACATCAAGAAATCTCAACCTTTTGCAGGAGTCGACCACAAGTATTTGCCAAAAAAACTCTGAAGTGTATCAATTAATGATGCGCCCTTCTCTTCAGTCGTTGCTGAAATATAATACCTACTCTCCTCAAGTAACTAGTTGGCAGCAGCCCTGCTTTGCGTATCCATCTGCGATTTTTCAATCTGTTCTAAATAAAGTTTGAAATATAAAATTTATTGTACAAATGCAATTATTCGAACAATCCAATAGAAATTTAAAAAAAACAGAAAAAAGAATATGACAATAAAAGCTATTAGCAGAGAAGTAGCTGGATCGTTTATTGTTGTTGTCATTTCGAGAGAAAGATGATTACAATTAGCAGACTGAGCTGTGCACAAGTGTGCAGAGAATCCACAAACAATACAAACAAATTGGCATCTAAACAAATAAAACGGATGTAGACGAGAACTGGGCATCCGTTCATTCAATATTTAAACAATACAGAATGAATAAGAAAATAGGGTTCTCTATCTTTCATGACATAGAGATGAATAAGATGTAAACATGGTATAATACATCTAATCGGTTGCATTCCAGCATTCATTATCTCTCCTTGGTGTCATTTGCCGCACTGCTCTGCGTACTCTTTCATGAACCTCGAAAAACCCGTCAATCATTCGATCTATTGCTTTCCTATCTATCACTCGTACACACGACTGACGAATCTCTTCAAACCTACGCCTAAAAATTTTGCGAATTGATGGGAAGCGATTATCCAGATATGCTATCGAGGCAGTTAAATTTTGCTCATACAAGTATTCACTATCAAGGCTTCTCATTACGGAGCGCGGTTCTTTAAGATCGTAATAGGCCTGAATGGTAGGCGCGGATGTGAGATCGCTGTCACTGGGATCCGTGTCGTTAAAATGTTGCCATGGGGGCAGTGGCTCAAGATTCAGCGTCTTACGTAACTCTGTTAGACCTATGATTACCACACTCTCTCGGATCAATACATTGCCAAGTATTCGCGCTATGGCACGCCGAACGATGTAGCCTGCTAGCTGCTCGAAATTGCTGGAGCTGAAGCAGGATTCAGCTATCTTTGTTAGCTCAGCGTCCTCGTCGAACGATGCAGATGTTGTGGGCACATAGAGATGGGTGCTGTCTACCAGACCAGTGGTCGTAAATGTAGAAACGGAAGTAGCGATACCACCAAAAAGGTACTCATTTATGTAGACATCTATCTATTTTAGCTTAAATGTAATATGTTTATCTGTCTAACCATCTATTCTAATCATTAAGGCGGTCATACTTACGAACCTGCATGTACATTGGTCCCAAGACAGAAACATACGAAGAATATTGCCAACATAGATTCGTCTGGAAATATGTAGCGTATCTAAGAGACATACAAGTAAATATCGCAACGAGATTAATATGAACCGAAATTAGCAACAGCGATGTATAAATATTTGTGTGTTATAATAATCACCTCTAATATAAGAGTATAATATATGTAGTTATTATGAATAGCGACCAGATAGAAATAAAGGAAGGAAGGAAGAAAGAAGGCGGCATTCGATCGGCCTATTTTTCGCTCGCTTGCCGACCCAATTTTAGATGGAAAGTGAAAGTCTCCTTCTGTCTCTTTCTAAACACGCATGGATGGAGACAATTAGACTACTTCAAATAAACATTATCCTCTTTAAAAATGATTGATTTGTTGATTTTAATCGCTCGTGAAAAAAATATGAGATTAACTGGTACTCAACAAAAATTTAAATTAAAAGATAACACAACTTTTTGAAAATCACATGTTTCAAGCATTTTCAAAACTAGAAGACAGAAATAACCACAAACATGTGTACCAAAAATCTTGTATTTGAAATGTGAGCATTCAATTATATTATCTTCTTTACCATTATTTTTTTTAGATATTTGATAACTTCATGAGGTGGATCTAATCCGAAGGAATCGAAGTAATAACTTTTATTTTTTTATTTTTTTGAATAACAAACCCAGTGAGTACCCTTATTATTACTTGAGTCAAGATTTAAAAATTCCGACTTTCTGGGAATGGATCTTATCTGGAAGGTTGTCTATCATGAAAACACCGCGGAAATGTTTTATTTTCAACTCCTTCACGAGCTCTTCGAGATCAAGATTTGTCAATGGCTTCATATCTGTTCGGAGATTAATATTCTTCATTTATAACACCAAGAATATTCGAAAAAAATGTTGAAAAAAATTGAAAAATGGGCAAAATGGTCTAACAGCATTTTGACCTTAAAAATGACATTTTTCGAAAATGAAGCATTTTCTGGTAGTTAAGACATAAAATGGAGTAGTAAATGTTCAAAAATGATCGAAAAATGCAGAAAACCAAGTTTGGGCAAAAAGCTGTCCCAGCGTCAACCTTTTATATACTGTTAGGGAAGAAAAAAAACCCCTACAGAGGTTGAAAA